TGTCAAGATGTTATTAAAACTCCGGAACAGGATGAAATACCCCAAATACTAGATCACTATCACTGTGGCAAAAACAATCTCCATCGGGGTATAAATGAAACTATATGAAGAATAAAAGAAAAGTATAATTGGCAAGGCATCACAAAGGATGTAGAAAATTTTATAAAAAATTGCGAAATCTGTCAAAAAGTAAAGATCTGTAGAAAAAACTTAAGTAACCCGTTAGTCATCACCGAAACACCTAAAACACCGTTCGAAAGAATTAACATAGATCTTTTCGAATACCCTACCAGAAATTACGCATTAACTATCAGAGACGAGCTCACTAAATTCACACAGGCATATCCTCTTGAAGACAAAACAGCTAAATCAGTCGTCAATCATCTTATTATCTTTTTCCAACACTATGGCACACCATTACGCATACACTGTGACTATGGACGTGAATTCGACAATGCTTTGATGAAAGATCTTTGTGAATTGTACGACATAAAACTAACCTTCTCAAGTGTGGGCCATCCACAATCTAACGGTTCTATCGAAAGATTTCACGCAACCCTAAGCGAAATGATAAGAGCTAATCAAGCTGAAAATCCCGATGAACATCCGTTCAATGTTCTGCCTTATGCAGTTATTTGCTACAATAACACAAAAAACAAAACCCACGGATTTACACCATACGAACTCATTTTCGGACATACTTCTTTTAGACCACCCGAAATACTTTACAATGAAAAAATCCTTATATCAAAATACGTTAGAGACTTAAGTAATCGTATGCAATACTTCTATAAAGTGGCACGAGCCAAGACGGAAAGACAAAAAGAAAAGGCTAAAGAAAGATTCGATCAACACGTGTCATCAAACCCTCCAGAATATAAAATAGGCGATAAGGTTTACTTCAAAGAATCGCAAATTAAAGATAAATCCCAAAATAAATTTAATGGCCCTTTTGAAATCCAAGAAATTCACGTAAATTCTGCTACTTTATTAAATACCCAAACCAATAGAACAATGAAAGTAAATTTTGATAGATTAAACCCTATCATGAGTAATTTTCTTTCAGATTCCTCGGACTGATCCCAGTCATCCTCTCCCAGTATACGTTAACTCCAATCAACAACACTGTTGGAATCTTTTTTCATGAAGAAACCAATCTTAAAATTTCGAACGACAAATGGACCCTCCTTGTATATAAAGACATGCAACCAATCAGAGACGTTATCGACAAAAATGACAAAATCTTAGAAAATTTATTGGATACCATTGAAGAAGATGTACCTCGAATGCTGGCATTTAAATCCGAAGTCCAAACTCACATAAGTCTTCTCAAACAAATCTCTAGTTCTGTTAATCTTAAATATACAGAAATAATGGCTGATACGAAACAATACACATTCCGAGAGAAACGCGGACTTATTAACGGAATAGGTTCGATATGGAAATCAATTACCGGCAACTTAGATTCGTCAGATGGCGAATATTTCAATGATTGTATAAATAAAATAACCCGTGATGAATACCAAATCGAAAACTTATTGAAAAATCAAATATCGGTTACAACTTCTGTTATTAAAAACTTTAACGCCACAATCCAGAAATTACAAATAGACGAGGAAACATTCAACAATAATATTAAAGAAATTCGAGAGTCAATAGGATATCTCTGACCAATAAAATTCTATCAATCTCAAATCGATATGCTAAACTTTTGTGAATTACTAATGGAAAGCTATTCATTTATCGAAGATTCTTTAAATGAAATAGTAAATGCCATAACCTTTGCTCGATTAAAAATATTACATAGCTCAATCATAACCCCGTTTGATTTAATTGAATCGCTAAGGCATATATCACAATCATTACAAAAAAATAATCTTCCATTATCAATCTATACTTCAAATCTAGCTCAATATCTCGATATTATCGAATTGCAAGCATATCAATTAGACACAAGAATTGTGTTTGTCTTAAATATTCCTTTAACTGATGCAGAACAATATACTTTATATCGTATCTATCCAATACCAATACTGGATAATCGAACAGGTCTTCATTCAATATTAACAACAACAAATAAATACATTGCGCGAAATGATGATTCATTGTTATACCTTACAATAAATAGCCTTGAGTCATGCAAAACTTTGCGAGCTCGAACCAAGATCTGTTACAACACACTTCCATACCCAATCGACAGCGATGCCATATGCGAAGCCCAACTTCTGAAACGACAAGAACGCCTTCCCAGAACATGCCAGACTTCCGTAGTATTTGCCAAAGATTACAACGTCCAGAAGATCAACATAAACCTGTGGCTCATAACAGTTTCTGACCCACTGCCTATTACCATCAAATGCGAATCCAGAGACGTCAAATCGGAGATTATTTACACAAACCATGTACTCAAACTACAACCCACGTGCGATGCCTTTATTGGTAGTACAAGAGTACACTCTCAGAAATTAATCGACGTTCATGACAATGTTACCTACAGAAGTCACCCTGTCCAAATACCATTCAATTGCTGCAAACACTTCCCAGATAAAATCCATCTTCCCGACTTAAAACCACTGAAGCTTAGCAAGATCAATACTGAAGACCTCGATATAGCCCATCACAAACTCAATCAGTATTCTGAAGAACTCGATAAACTAATCAATGAACCGTTTGTCAATAAACATCTGAGCTGGTTCACCATTTTTACCATAGTTGTTATTGTAACTCTTGTTGTTCTTTATGTTATATGTAAATGCAGATCCAAGAGAAGATACAGGATAGGCATTGGCAATACCAATGACAATGACCATCCGCCCTCTCCACCAAGACACACAGAGACAGCCTTCACCCGGAATTGGAGGAAAATCCTTCCAAGACGAAGACCCAGTATCCACCTAAGCGACGCCATAGACGAAGAAGAGCAGATCCAACTGAATACCAATAAACAGACAGTCTAAAAGTTGCTGCCACGCATCAACTTTCATCTAAAAGGGGGAGCTGTTATATGCATTGTACCAACCGATGTTCCTTATCACGACGATTCCCAGGGTATCAGGTTTCACTTCCAACAACCTGAGCCGATAAGGATCCTTGCAAATGCAGTACCAGCAGAGTCAGCGGGACCCAAGCTTTTTACACGTTCCCACTGAGTCAGCATTTAGTAATATTATAAAACCGCTTGTCGCTCTTAATTCAGTATTCAGTATATTTTTGTAGTTCATTCATTATATTTTATATTTCATTCATTTTTACCACGTAACTTGTATTTTGTAATTAATAAATTTTTAAAAAGTCAAAAAAGTGTTTCGTGATATAAAATATATATATATAATCATAAGCATCCCAATCGGACCACAAGGTATACCAAATGAATTATTAAAACATAGCCCACAAGTATTACGGGAATTGCTGGCGTATGTCTTCACCTTATTCTATAATGGACACGACTTACCACCGGAGTGGACAAAAGCACATATTAACAACATCTACAAAAAAGGAGATAGAAAGAATTGTTCAAACTACAGGGGACTAAGTGTCATAAATTCACTCTCAAGACTGTATGGAAAAATAATAAAAAATAAAATTGAAAAAGAGATGACAGATGTAGAAGAACAGAATGGCTTCCGTGCAGGCAAATCCTGCATGGACAGTATATTCCCTCTAAAGCAAGTTATCGAGAAAAGATTAGCCCACGACCTTTCAACTCATATAGTATTTATAGATCTGACAAAGGCATACGATGGTGTACCACTTTCAATGCTTTGGGTAGCAATGGAAAAACAAGGAATCTGCAAAAAAAATATACAAGCAGTCCAACAGCTCTACAAAAATATGACGGCAAACATTAAAACTGGAAATAGATTAACTAGAGAAATTCCTATTGGTAAGGGCCTAAAGCAAGGCTGCTGCATAGCACCTACACTCTTCAAAATATATCTAAATGAGGCACTCTCACTGTGGAGAAGATAGTGCTGCAATATGGGCATCCCAATCGAAGATGATAGATTGTACACGATACATTTCGCTGACGACCAAGCCATTCTAGCTGAAGACGAGAGTGATATAAGCTACATGCTTAGAAAACTGAAAAATGAGTACACCAAATGGGGCCTCACAATTAATATACAAAAAACTGAGTACTTAGTTGTAGGAGAAAAACCAGAAAGCCTACAAATCGAAATGGGAACTATAAAACCATCAGACAATTTTAAGTACTTGGGAGTCCAAATAACATCAAAAGCAGGAAGTAGCGAAGAAATACATTCCAGGCTTGGCCAAGCAAGATCAGCCACCAGACAGCTACACGGACTATTATGGAATAAAAAAATAACAAAAGAGAATAAAAGAAGAATTTATAAAACAATAATAGAAAGTATTGGACTGTACGGCGCTGAACTCTGGGAAATAAACCAAAGAAACAAATCAAAAATTAAGGCCATGGAAATGAACTACTGGAGACGATGTTGCCAGCTCACTAGACTTGATAGGGTAAGAAACGAAGATATTCGGAGAGAAATGAAAATCGATCTAGTCATAATAGACACAATCGAAGCCAAAAGACTTAACTGGTATGGACACCTTCAGAGAATGCCGGAAAATGGATGGCCACAAAAAATAGAAGAATGGACTCCGCCAACTAGAAGAAAACGAGGTAGACCAAGACGATCCTGGAGATACGATGTCGACCATGCAATGACCGCCAGAGATCTAACAACTGAAGATTGCTTCGACAGAAAACGCTGGAAATTTGGAAATTTGGATGCGAGAAACGGCGCCAGCTGTAGAAGACTCGCTTCTTATATATATATATATATATATATATATATATATAATATATATATATATATATATATATATATATATATATATATATATTATATATATATATATATATATATATTTAACAAACTTAGTTTCGAAGTATTTTTACTTTAAATTACAAGAAAGTTCGGGATTTTGTGCAATATAAAAATATTAGGAAGAATTTAAAATATACTTACTATACAAGATCATTATTAGACTCCAGTCCCAGTCACCAGATTGGGCAACATACGCCATAAAAAAATTATAGGAACTTATTCCAGACAACGATCTTAAACCAAGGATTCCAGTCATCAGTAGTAAAGGTTTAAGCCAACTATATTTTACAAAAGTACTAACTTGCACTCCTACTTCAATATCGGGAATATTAGGTTGAACTTTGTTTTGAATTTCGTTAAACTCCATTTGATGATTTGAGTGGTTGCTTCTTAATTTTACTAAACTTGATTTTGCCGCAAGCTCACGTCCTATCGTTAAATAGTAAAATGGACTTTCTTCTACTAGGGTTACCGATAAAATTGTCGCAATAATTGCTAGCGAAACAGATATATAATTAAGTATAGATGATGAGCCATATCCAACTAATGGTTCTAACACGCCAGTAATAAAGAAATTAGCTATTGCAAAGGACGGATTCATAAGTGCGATTAGTCTGCCTCGTGATGTCTTTTCTGCCACTTCTCCAATGTATATCGGTACAACAACATAAGTTCCACCAATTGATAAACCAGCAATAAATTTAGCAATAAATAAGACTGCAATGTGTATCCTTAATTCACAGATAAAAAATGACAACAAAAAATGTAAACATAATACAGTCAGAATATGTTTTCTTCCTACTTTTTCGGCCAAGAAAGAAAAAACAACTGATCCACAAATATTTCCAATTCCTACTGTTACGAACAACCAATTTATAATACGCATTGAAAAATGTTCGTGTTCGCTATGGGAGCGAATTTCAAATATAATGGACATTTGGGAAATTACTGTCAGTGCCATAAGGAGACATCCTGTAAAAAGAAAAAAGCATAGCATTAATTTTAAAATTGCAACAAATTGGACTAATATAATATGTATTTTTTTAAACTTCCACATTTTGTATTTTTTTTTCTAATTTCCATAACATGGGTATGGACCCATTTTAATATAATGTATATAGAATAACATCCTAATAAAAGACAAACATCACCACTGACAGACTTATGAATCATTTAGCCAGCATTAGTTCAATCAAGTTGTATTAAGTAATTATGACGAACAATGACACCTTCTTTTTGAATTAAATAATCGAATATATCTTATATATATATGTATATATATATATATATATATATATATATATATATATATATATATTTATATATATATATATATATATATATATATATATATATATATATAATATATATATATATATATATATATATATATATATATATATATATATAAATATATATATATATATATATATATATATATATATATATATATATATATATATATATAATATATACCATGCGGTCCATATGTATGGAATAAATTTTACAGTATGAAAATATTATACCCCTTTAGCAACCCCTTTGAATTATAAGCATCCCCTCGAAAATATTAAATACCAAAGGGGGTCGTATGACACCTTTTTAGAAAGGGATTTTAGTCCTTTGTTCAGCAATATAAAGCTTTTCAAATTTGGTGCAATCATAACTGAAAAATTGATGTTTAAGATGTAAAATTTTGATAATTTCTCTATCGCAAAACTTTAAGTTGAATGAAGATAATAATGTCACATAATATTTAGGATGTATTTTTCAATGTACTTTACAATTAAATTAAATGTTCAAAATGACCATCATTCACTTCTTTACAATAAGGCGATTTTGGAATTTTTGTACAATATTTGTGCGACATAGGGGGATTTTTTGTTAATTTTTTTCGTTATCCTTACTTTAAATCAATAATACTGTTTGGTCAATTAAAATATACTTTAGATTTTAAATTACCCCATACGAAGTAATCGAGAGGAGTCAAAGCGGGGGATCTAGCCGGCCATTCGATCGTTCCATGTCTTCCAATCCACCTATTAGGAAAAACCTCTTATCTTTTTCTGATGCAGGCACTAAAAAGTTATTCAAAAAATCTAGATGAACCTTACCATCAACTGTGCCTTCAAACAAATAAGGACCAATAATTTTATTGTTAATGATACCAGCCCAAACATTAACTTTTTAGGATATTGCGTGTAAGTCTCACACACCCGGTTAGGATTTTCTCTGCTGCAATATCTACAGTTCTGTTTGTTAACCGTTTCATTTAAATGAAATGTCGCTTTATCAAAAAAAAAACTATTTTGTTTATGAACTGCAGATCTACGCTTATTCTGTCCATCATCATTTCATACAATTCTTGCCTTCTATAAGGATTATCTTCATTTAACTCCTGAACCAACTGAACTTTGTAAGGGTGATATTTTTCTTTATGCAAAACTCTTAAAATAGATGATTTGCTTACATCATTGACAGTTTTCCTCAATATCTAGAAGTACATCTAACTTTTTTTCATCAGTAAATTTAACATTTCTACCTGGTTTTTTAATATTCTTTACATGACCAGTATAACGACTCTTCTTTTCAATTTTGCTGATTGTAGATTGCGAAACTGGTTGGCCAGGGTATTTATAGTTAAACATTGCACAAGCATTCTTTTAAGTTCTTGTTTTATTACCACAACCAATCATAATTAATATGTCTATTGTTTTAGTTTTCCTCTCTCTAGACAAATGAGTCATATTACAATTTAATACGCGCACAAATGCTATACTGACATCTTTTAGTAACTTTAAATACCTAAATAACAGCAGCCTACTAGATTTTGGTATATCAATTGTTTATTTGACTTTTTGACTAATATTTTATTATCTTCACAAAGTTTTTTCCCTAATTTTAGCAGAACAGATACGAAAATATCTGATTATTTCTAAAGTATATTTTAATAGACCAGGCAATATTGCTGATTTAAAAGTTAGGATAACGGAAGAAATTAACAAAATAACCCCCGAGGTCATACAAAGTGTTGTACGAGAATTCCAAAATCAACTTGGTTATTGTTAAGAAGTAAATAATGATGGTCAAGTTAAATATTTAATTTAATTGTAAAAATCAATTTTCTCAGTTATGATTGCAATATAATATCAACTTGTCGCGACAAGATTCTTGTCAGTGCAAAGATTTGTGTTGGGCATCATAGACGTACACTGCATATTCAAAATTCTGTTGGTGATTTTCAACATTTAAAGATCCAGTTTAAAACAAATAATTACTGTTATGTATAGTGCACTTTTATAACTATAAAAAAGTATACTTTAAATCAATATTTGTGCGTTTGTTTTTACCTGTAAACAAACTTTTATTTTTTCGTTTCCTCCAGTACCGGCCACTGCATTGTCCTGCAGTACCGGCCAATAATAAAGTTCGTTTTTAAAAGATTTCTTTTACTTACAGGTACGCAAAAATGCCAAGTGATAAAAATAATGTTCATGTGAGGCAAAAAAAAAGGGCAGCTGGGATCCTGCGAACATGCGAAAAGCCGTGGAAAAGGTACTGAATAATGAGATGAGTGCACGCCAAGCTGCCGAATGCTATCAGATACCACGAACTACATTAAATGACAGAGTAAGTGCTATTAAAAATAATAAAGAGATATCCATTGAGCCAGTTATGGGTTGTTTTCACAATACTTTTTCACCTGAACATGAAGAAACATTGGCGACACATGTTAAAGACTTGGCCAATAGACTAATGCCTTTAAAGAGGCAAGAATTTTTACGTCTTGCTCTTCAACTGGCAGAGAAGTTGAAGTTACCTCACCAGTTTAATAAATAAAAAGAAATGGCAGGGAAAAACTATTATTATTCTTTTATGAAAAGACATAGTGATTTATCATTGCGGAGTGCTGAATCAACCAGCTTAATGAGAGCAGTAGGATTTAACAGACCTCAGGTTGAGCGTTTCTTTGATGGTTTAGAGACTTTGATACAGAGGTTTAAATTCACTCCTTATAAAATATGGAATTGCGACGAGACTGGTGTCAGCGTTGTCCAAAAACATGCCAAAGTTTTAGCTACTAAAAACCAAAAACAAGTAGGAAAACTGACTTCAGCAGAACGTGGAAAGAACGTGACGGTGCTTTTTGCAATGAGCGCTGGAGGTCAATTTGTTCCACCATATTTTATATTTCCACGAGTCCGAATGAATGAAAGAGTAATGGTTAACGCCCTAAATGAGAGCGTAGGCGAAGCTCAGCCAAACGGCTGGATGAATGCCGAAATATTTTTAAAATGGATGCATCATTTTGTGCAGTATTCTAATCCTACAGCCGAGAATCCAGTTGTCCTGATTTTAGATGGACATGCGAGTCATAAGGACTTAGATGTTATTGAATTTGCCCGGAAAAATAACATCCATATGCTTAGCACCCCACCACATACGACCCATAAGCTACAGCCACTGGATCGTACGGTTATGAAGCCATTTAAATCTGCTTATAGTAATGCATGTGACTTGTGGATAAGATTAAATCCCGGTATTAGAATCAGTGAATACGAGATTGCTGGCTTAGTTGCTTCAGCTTTTAATCGAGTTTCTCGAATGGAAATCGCAGTTAGTGGCTTTCGTTGCACAGGCATACACCCCTTTGATAAAAATGTCTTTAATGATTTGGACTTTATTTGTTCTAACATAACCAACATTACAGAACAACAATCAACGTCAGAATCATTGCCTTCATCTTCCCAACTGCTAGAAGCAACACCTTCAACATCAGAACCGTTGCCTTCATCTTCCCAACTGCTAGAACCAATATCTACTACTCCTGCTCCTGATCTCGTAGCCCATATTACAAATTCTGTGCATTCCGACAACCAAACTACTCTTGCTAATGGAGAATCACAGATTGCTTTTTTGCGGCAATTAGAATCTCAAGAAGAAGCTACAATTGACCTATCCACAGACAATTTTAAAGCTGCACTTACAGAACTCTCACCGGTTCCTGATGCTTCTAAAAGAAGAGCAACTGCCCGGCGTCGTAAAGCTGAAAAAAGCGAAATTATAACTGGTTCTCCATACAAAAAAATGCTGGAAGGAAAAAAAGCAGGCAAAACAAGCGTCGAATCACTTAAACGAGGGAAGAATTTACTTGTGGAATATGACGTTAACAAAAAAAATAGGGTCTCAGGAAAATATGTTCAAAAAGGTAAAAGCTTGTTGTCAGGAAGATATGTTAGTAAGAAAAGTAGGAAAAATAAAGATGAAAACCTACCTCCTCCTAGCAGACCGGTTGAAGAAGAGACAGTTTGTCCTTTGTGCACTGAATCTCATGAAGAGGATTGGATACAGTTTGGAAACTGTAATATTTGGGTTCATGAGGCTTGTGCGAAGATATCAGAGCTATCCAAACAATATATTTGTGTTTTCTGTATTGTTTAATTGGTAATATATTTACTGGCCGGTACTGGAGGCCAATTTTATAAAGTTTGATTTTTCCTTATCTTTAATTTTCATTAATAAAGTGATTATTTTGAAACATTATGATTGTTTATTACTTTCATTGACAGCATAATAGTCCTTTCATACATGACAGGAAGTATTAAAACATGTACCTTTTAGCATTTTGATTTTTTTGTTGATAACCCTAAGGTGACGGTACTGTAGGACTCTCCCCTAACCCGTATATATTTCAAAGAGCGATTGTTGTATAAAGTAGACAGCTTTTAAAATATTATTTTGTATAATTAGTTTCTTAAAAATAGATAACACAATTTTTGGAAAGTGTAGAATTAAGTTGTGGTTATATATGTATAATAGGAATTAAGGAATTTTATTTATTCTTGGAACTCCAGAAAAAACAAGCAAATACGAAAGTTTGAGAATTTCTTTAGAATTATAATTTTTTGATTAGATGAAAAATAATGATGGAAGGGGAGAACAAGCCGATGTCTGAAATGAATGAGTAGATT